TAGATGTTAGATCCAACGGTTAGATCCAACGGTTAGATGTTAGATCCAACGGTTAGATCCAACGGTTGGATCGAACGGTTGGATCGAACAGTTAGAAATAACGGTTAGAAAGAACGGTTGGATCGAACGGTTGGATCGAGAGAGAGGCAGAGAGAGGGGACAGGGAGAGACATGAATGGAAAGAAATTGACAGAGGGACAGAGGGACAGAGAGGGGGGAGCTCGTGAGAGAGGGAGATAGATAGAGAGAGAGGGACAAAGAGAGGAAAGAGGAACAGGTACAGGGAGATAGATAGGGGATAGAGAGAGGGGGGCTCATGTTTTTTTTTGTCCGTGCAATTTTGTCCGTTTTCAGAAAATAGGATACCAAAACGGTTAGATCATATGGTTAAATCCAACGGTTAGATCCAACGGTTAGCAAGAACGGTTAGATCCAACGGTTAGATCCAACGGTTAGATCCAACGGTTGGATCGAACGGTTGGATCAGACGGTTAGAAAGAACGGTTGGATCAAACGGTTGGATCGAGAGAGAGGCAGAAAGAGATGCAGAGAGAGAGAGAGAGAGAGAGAGAGAGAAGAGAGAGAGAGAGAGAGAGAGAGAGAGAGAGAGAGAGATATAGAGAAAGAGAGAAAGAGAGAGAGAGAGGAAGATAGAGAAAGGGAGATAGAGAGAGAGGGATAGAGAGAGGGAGAGAGAGAGGGGACAGGGAGAGACATGAATGGAAAGAAATTGACAGAGGGACAGAGGGACAGAGAGGGGGGAGCTCATGAGAGAGGGAGATAGATAGAGAGAGGGACAGAGAGAGGAGAGAGCAACAGGTACAGGGAGATAGATAGGGGATAGAGAGAGGGGGGCTCATGTTTTTTTTTGTCCGTGCGATTTTGTCCGTTTTAAGAAAATAGGGTACCAAAACGGTTAGATCGTACGGTTAGATCCAACGGTTAGAAAGAACGGTTAGATCCAACGTTTAGATCCAACGGTTAGATCCAACGGTTAGATGTTAGATCCAACGGTTAGATCCAACGGTTGGATCTTACGGTTGGATCGAACAGTTAGAAATAACGGTTAGAAAGAACGGTTGGATCGAACGGTTGGATCGAGAGGCAGAGAGAGGGGACAGGGAGAGACATGAATGGAAAGAAATTGACAGAGGGACAGAGAGGGGGGAGCTCGTGAGAGAGGGAGATAGATAGAGAGGGAGAGGGACAGAGAGAGGAGAGAGGAACAGGTACAGGGAGATAGATAGGGGATAGAGAGAGGGGCCGGGGGCTCATGTTTTTTTTTGTCCGTGCGATTTTGTCCGTTTTCAGAAAATAGGATACCAAAACGGTTAGATCATACGGTTAAATCCAACGGTTAGATCCAACGGTTAGAAAGAACGGTTAGATCCAACGGTTAGATCCAACGGTTAGATCCAACGGTTGGATCAGACGGTTAGAAAGAACGGTTGGATCGAACGGTTGGATCGAGAGAGAGGCAGAGAGAGATGCAGAGAGAGAGAGAGAGAGAGAGAGAGAGAGAAGAGAGAGAGAGAGAGAGAGAGAGAGAGAGAGAGAGAGAGAGAGAGAGAGAGAGAGAGAGAGAGAGAGAGAGAGAGAGAGAGAGAGAGAGAGAGAGAGAGAGAGAGAGAGAGAGGAGAGAGAGAGAGGAGAGAGAGAGAGGAAGAGAGAGAGAGGAAGAGAGAGAGGAAGAGAGATAGGAAGAGAGAGAGAGAGGAAGAGAGAGAGGGACAGAGGATCCAACGGTTAGAAAGAACGGTTAGATCCAACGGTTAGATCCAACGGTTAGATCCAACGGTTAGATCCAACGGTTGGATCGAACGGTTGGATCAGACGGTTAGAAAGAAAGGTTGGATCGAACGGTTGGATCGAGAGAGAGGCAGAGAGAGATGCAGAGATAGAGAGAGAGATAGAGAGAGAAAGAGAGAGAGAGAGATAGAGAGAGAGAGAGAGAGAGAGAGAGAGAGAGAGAGAGAGAGAGAGAGAGAGAGAGAGAGAGAGAGAGAGAGAGAGAGAGGAAGAGAGATAGGAATAGAGAGAGGGAGAGAGAGAGAGGGTGGACAGGGAGAGACATGAATGGAAAGAAATTGACAGAGGGACAGAGAGGGACAGAGAGGGGGGAGCTCGTGAGAGAGAGAGAGGAAGAGAGAGAGGAAGAGAGAGAGGAAGAGAGAGAGAGGGACAGAGGAACAGACAGGGAGATAGATAGGGGATAGAGAGAGGGGGGCTCATGTTTTTTTGTCCGTGCGATTTTTTTGTCCGTTTTCAGAAAATAGGGTACCAAAATGGACAAAAATTTTGATTTTGATATAAATTGTCTCCATAATTTGTAACAGGCTATCTGCTGATATGAGTAGCACGGTTAATGACAATGGTCCTTTCTCATACTTTTAATCCTCAGTTAGGTACAAAGAATAGTCTACATATTTTTTAATAACATAAAAGGGATGAAAATCACTATATTTATGAAAAATATCGTTCGGTATATCAAGAAAACAACAATTTAACCAAGCAATATCTTCTAATTACTGCACTATAGGACCTATTTAAACTTATAAGGTCCAGTCTTTTAAACGTATACGATGTCAAACAAATTTAAATGTAATACAAGAACTGAGAAGGTATCATACACACGAGGACTGAGGAGGAGGACTGAGAGGGACTGAGTAAGAGGAGGAGGAGGAGGAGGACACAGAGGACGAGGAAAACTGAGGAGGAGGACTGATGAGGAGGACGAGGAAAAGGTCGTAGAAGGTATCGTACATACGAGGACTGAGGAAGAGGAGGACTGAGGAGGACTGAGAGGGACTGAAAAAGAGGAGGACGAGGAGAAAGACACGGAGGACGAGGAAAACTGAGAAGGAGGAGGAGGACGAGGAAAAGGTCTGAAAAGGTATCGTACATACGAGGACTGAGAAAGAGGAGGAGGACTGGGGAGGAAGACTGAGGAGGAGGAAGAGAAAGAGGAGGAGAACTGGGGAGGAGGAAGAGGAGGAGGATGAAGATAAGGAGGAGGCCTGAGAAAGACTGGGGAGGAGGAGGATTGAGTAGGAAGAAAAGGAGGATAAGGAGGACTGAGAATGTATTGTACATACGAGGACTGAAGAGGAGGAGTATGAGGACTGAAGAGGAGGAGAAGGACAGAGAAGGTATCGTAAGTTGTATACTAGGACTGAGGAGGAGGAGGACTGAGGAGGAGGAATGAGGAGGAGGACAGAGGAGGCGGAAGAGAAGGAGAAGGAGAACTGAGAAGGTATCGTGGACTGTGGAGGAAGAGTATGAGGACTGAAGAGGAGAAGAAGGACTGAGAAGGACAGAGAAGATATCGTACATACGAGAACTGAGGAACTGAGAAATGAGGAGGAGGAGGAGGAGGAGGTCTGAGCAGGGAGAGGAGGAGGATGAGGACTGGGGAAGACGACTGAAGAGAAGGAGGAAGAGGAGTAAGAGGTGGAAAACGAGGAGGACTGATGAAGATGATGAGGAATGAGGATGATGAGGAGGAGGATCAAGATGATGATGAATATGAGGAGGAGGACTGATGAAGATAACTGAGGAGGACTGAGGAGGAGAAGGAGAAGGTTTGAGAAGGTATCGTACATACGAGGACTGATGAGGAGGACTGAAGAAGAGTAGGAGAACTGTGGAGGAGGACTGAGGAGGAGGAAAAGAAAGAGGAGGAACAGGAGAACTGGGGGAAAGAAAGAGGAGAAGGATGAAGATAAGTAGGAGGACTGAGGAAGACTGAGGATGAGAAGGAGTACTGAAGAGGAAGAGGAGGAAGAGGAGGATGTGGAGGAGAACTGGGGAGGAGGAGGAGGAGGAGGATGAAGATAAGGAGGAGGACTGAGGAAGAGTAGGGAGGAGGACTGAGGGAAAGGAAGAGGAGGAGGACTGAAGTGGAGGAGGACAAAGGAGGTGGAGGAGTATGAGGACTGACGAGCTGGATAATGACATACGACGACTGAGGAGGATGATGACTGAGGAAGAGGATGATTGAGGAGAAGGAGGACTAAGGAGGAGGAGGACTGAGGAGGAGGAGGACTGAGGAGGAGGAGGAGGACTGAAGAGGAGGAGGAGGACTGGGGAGGAGGAAGAGAAGAAGGATGAAAATAAGGAGGAGGACTGAGGAAGACTGGGGAGGAGGATGAGGGAGAGGACTGAGGCGAAGGACTGAGAATGTATCGTACATACGAGGACTGAGGAGGAGGAGTAGGAGGACTGAAGAGGAGGAGGACTGGGGACTGAGAGAGAGAGGGATATAGAGGGAGAGGAGGGATAGAGAGTGGGAAAGAGAGGGATAGAGAGGCAGAGAGAGGGAGATAGAAAGGGGAGAGAGGAGAAAGAGCTGAGGGAGAGGGGAGAGAGGGGGCTGGGGGACAGGGAGATGGAAAGAGAGGAGGAGAGAGCGTGAGGGAGGGATAGGAGGAGAGAAGGAGGGAGATATAGTGAGATGGAGAGGGAGAGAAAGAGAGGGAGAGATAGAGAGGGGGAGAGAGAGAGAGAGAGAGAGAGAGAGAGAGAGAGAGAGAGAGAGAGAGAGAGAGAGAGAGAGAGAGAGAGAGAGAGAGAGAGAGAGAGAGAGAGAGAGAGAGAGAGAGAGAGAGAGAGAGAGAGAGAGAGAGAGAGAGAGAGAGAGAGAGAATGAGAGAGAGAGAGAGAGAGAGAGAGAGAGAGAGAGAGAGAGAGAGAGAGAGAGAGAGAGAGAGAGAGAGAGAGAGAGAGAGAGAGAGAGAGAGAGAGAGATAGAGAGAGAAAGGGAGATAGAGAGAGAGAAGGAAGTAGGAAGACGATGAGAAGTTGGATAAAGAGATATATTGCACACATAGAGGCCGTACGTGTGAGAGCTTTAAATAGAAAATAGGAAGTCAGTGACAAGTCGGGTAAAGAGATGAACTCTATAGAAAAGGGCCAGGAGAGCGAAGGATGAGGGCAAATAGGAAGACTGCAGCTGCGAGAAGTCGAAAGATGACATGAAGGTAAAACAAAAGAAAGCAACCTTATACTTAAAAGACTTAACAGAATTGAAAATGTACACATTAAAGTAACTATAAAACAGACCAACGATTGATCATATGTTGCCAACTCACATCAGAAAAATAACAAACGCCCTGTGTTTCAAAAAGTTCATAGTTTATCTAGGCCAATGTTCAACAATCAACACTCAAGCTTTTTGCCAAAAACCGAATAGAAGGGGCCCTTCGCTTCTGTGTCCTGGCGATTCTCAGTTTGCTCATAAAAGTCTGTGTAGTCTGATGTAATATGTTTAACGCACAAATCTCCGGTTACAGGCTTCAGCAATTGTTCACTAACCAATTAGACCTGAAATGAAAGAAATTGTATAATGGGAACCAGGTTACGATAAAAATGATCATCAAAATTACTTTTTTTAAGAAGGATACCTCACTATTCAAACATCATAGCAACAAACTTCACATATCAATTGTCGTTTGATGTTGTATTTAGTAAACCACCGGCTCTGCTTGTGCACAACACAAGGGTATTTATTTTTAAATGCACTATCCAAGGATGCTTTATTACATACCTTAGGCATTTAATCGTTGCAGTTGTTTCTATATGTGGCAGTCCTGAGCGTCAATCTTTTTCGTCTTTTGTCTGCTCATTTCTCATTTCAAATCGATGAGGCAGGACTAGAATTTAGCAATGTTCTGTGTGCTGTACCTAACTATAGTGTGCGTGGCATTTATTATCTTGGTCTCCGTAAATGTGGAAACCATTGAATATGTCTACCAATGCTCCTCAGTCGACCACAAAGCATTTAAAATAGCGTTTAGTGTTTTGACCAGCTGTGTATTTAGATGAAGCAAGGTCAGGAACCCAGCATGGTGGAGGATAATGACAGTTATCGTGCAAAAAGATCTGTCACTTTACTTTTGTAGCTTTCAATTCTATCAGAATCGTAGTTTGTAAATTCACATACCTTTGATGAAGTAAATGTTAGACAGTGTTTTTATGAATATATCCCCGTGAAAAACTTACTTAACAACAGTAAGATAATAAACTTCTGAGAAATTCAATCATGAAGGGTCTTATTTCATCAAAAAAGCTGAAGTTTGAAGGCCATTGAAAACAACGCTGATATAAATGAAAGCCAAATATATATGTAATCTTCAGCTCAACTGTCCATCATGTCTGTTAGATTATGATAGTTGCAGTTCAACTACAGTAAAAGCAGATAAAATTAAAACAATTATGCCCTTAAACTGTATGTCTTGAAAGAGCAGTTTCTTCTGGGCTTCTGGTTGTTAGAAGGCATCTCAGTTACCAGTACTTGTGATTCCGCGGTTATAGCTTGAACCATGTTTTGTGCATGCAACACTTAGATGAACCGTTGATTAGAAACATTGAAGAGATTTCAAAGCAATCTCTTGCAGTACTACCGTCTTCGTTCTTTAGACCAAAGTAGTTGAAAAGAATTATGTGGTGCCACAGGACTCTGCAGTAAATATCCACCATAAAGATCTTCACAATCCAGTCAACACCAGTGATCCCGGGAATTAGCTCTCTTTTGGTTTTTTCTTCCTTTCCACTTGGTCACTGAGCTGAAGTTACTCTCATCACCACATGTCAGTTCAATCAGTAAAACTAAAATATTCTTGGAGAATGGAACTAACTGACAAAATTAAAATATCCAACCTCTAGCATTGTAGGTATGCTGAGGGAATTGGGCAGGGTATTTATCTTCGTCAAACAGTATATTCCAATCTCTTGCATCACTAGAGATGTCCTTCTTCATCATCATCATCTCCTTACCAAGCTTCTAGTACTGGGTAAGTTTAGACCTGAACTTAAACCACAGCTCCCACAGTCCTCCTTGGGTGACGGGTGTGTTACTACTCTCTCTGTTGTCTGCCAATTGAATCGGAAAGGTCGAGGTGATTTCATGTTAGTCTTTAAATCTCTGTTGACAAAATGTGTAATACTCTAATCGTGAAATATCGTCAACTCACTACTAAAGCCCTTTGCATTGGATCAACTCCAACAAAATAACTTCAGGGTCAGCCTACAAAATGTTCTGAGTATCACAAAGTGGGATGAAAATGTCTCGTATAGCGCTCGATTTTTCCTAACGACATTTTTTAACTTTCGATAATGACGACCAAACGCATTGCGCGGCTTTTTATTTTTAATATAAATCTTTGCTAACAAAAAATTGCAAAACCCCAAAATTGTCCGATTCCAGTATATTATAAATTAAATTTCAAATGAATGAAACAGTTCTTGAAAATCAATAAACAATTTACCGTATTTAAAATTTTTTATAAATTTTAAATACATAATTGTTCAAATTTTGTTATTTTACAAAGTAATTTAAAATTATACAATTATAACCTATAATATTTATTCATATCATATTTTAAAATAGTAAAATGTATACGGGATAATAATTAGCAATTTTGTTAGATAAAAATAATTATTTTAAAAATAAAAAGCCGCGCAATGCGTTTGGTCGTCATTACCGAAAGTTAAAAAATATCGTTAGGAAAAATCGAGCGCTATACGAGACATTTTCACTCACTTTGTGAATACTCGAACATTTTGTAGGCTGACCTGAAGTTATTTTGTTGGAGTTGATCCAATGCAAAGGGCTTTAGTAGTGAGTTGACGATATTTCACGATTAGAGTATTACACATTTTGTCAATAGAGATTTAAAGACTAACATGAAATCACCTCGACCTTTCCGATTCAATTGGCAGACAACAGAGAGAGTAGTAACACACCCGTCACCCAAGGAGGACTGTGGGAGCTGTGGTTTAAGCTCAGGTCTAAACTTACCCAGTACTAGAAGCTTGGTAAGGAGATGATGATGATGAAGAAGGACATCTCTAGTGATGCAAGAGATTGGAATATACTGTTTGACGAAGATAAATACCCTGCCCAATTCCCTCAGCATACCTACAATGCTAGAGGTTGGATATTTTAATTTTGTCAGTTAGTTCCATTCTCCAAGAATATTTTAGTTTTACTGATTGAACTGACATGTGGTGATGAGAGTAACTTCAGCTCAGTGACCAAGTGGAAAGGAAGAAAAAACCAAAAGAGAGCTAATTCCCGGGATCACTGGTGTTGACTGGATTGTGAAGATCTTTATGGTGGATATTTACTGCAGAGTCCTGTGGCACCACATAATTCTTTTCAACTACTTTGGTCTAAAGAACGAAGACGGTAGTACTGCAAGAGATTGCTTTGAAATCTCTTCAATGTTTCTAATCAACGGTTCATCTAAGTGTTGCATGCACAAAACATGGTTCAAGCTATAACCGCGGAATCACAAGTACTGGTAACTGAGATGCCTTCTAACAACCAGAAGCCCAGAAGAAACTGCTCTTTCAAGACATACAGTTTAAGGGCATAATTGTTTTAATTTTATCTGCTTTTACTGTAGTTGAACTGCAACTATCATAATCTAACAGACATGATGGACAGTTGAGCTGAAGATTACATATATATTTGGCTTTCATTTATATCAGCGTTGTTTTCAATGGCCTTCAAACTTCAGCTTTTTTGATGAAATAAGACCCTTCATGATTGAATTTCTCAGAAGTTTATTATCTTACTGTTGTTAAGTAAGTTTTTCACGGGGATATATTCATAAAAACACTGTCTAACATTTACTTCATCAAAGGTATGTGAATTTACAAACTACGATTCTGATAGAATTGAAAGCTACAAAAGTAAAGTGACAGATCTTTTTGCACGATAACTGTCATTATCCTCCACCATGCTGGGTTCCTGACCTTGCTTCATCTAAATACACAGCTGGTCAAAACACTAAACGCTATTTTAAATGCTTTGTGGTCGACTGAGGAGCATTGGTAGACATATTCAATGGTTTCCACATTTACGGAGACCAAGATAATAAATGCCACGCACACTATAGTTAGGTACAGCACACAGAACATTGCTAAATTCTAGTCCTGCCTCATCGATTTGAAATGAGAAATGAGCAGACAAAAGACGAAAAAGATTGACGCTCAGGACTGCCACATATAGAAACAACTGCAACGATTAAATGCCTAAGGTATGTAATAAAGCATCCTTGGATAGTGCATTTAAAAATAAATACCCTTGTGTTGTGCACAAGCAGAGCCGGTGGTTTACTAAATACAACATCAAACGACAATTGATATGTGAAGTTTGTTGCTATGATGTTTGAATAGTGAGGTATCCTTCTTAAAAAAAGTAATTTTGATGATCATTTTTATCGTAACCTGGTTCCCATTATACAATTTCTTTCATTTCAGGTCTAATTGGTTAGTGAACAATTGCTGAAGCCTGTAACCGA